CCCCAAAACCCCAAAACCCCAAAACCCCAAAACCCCTAATATTTATGCTAAAAATGAAGCTATTTAAATTAATCAGAAGGATTCTTAATCTTCAATGAGCCAGAGCAGTATTCTTAAATATTTCAGCACCAAAAGAAAGAGCACAAGAAAAGATAAGGAGGTAAACTCTCCAAACCAGCCTGGAAACCAGCCGGATGGCAAAATGAACAGTCCTGAGAACAGAACAGTAAATTGTAGGGAAAAGAAGTCCTGACGCCGGAAGGTTTATGCTCCTAAATAAATTTCTATCTTACCAAAAATCGTGGACATCAACTGTTCCCTTCTATAGTGATTACTCTGCGCATTGCCTCTGGGAGAAGCAGATTCACAGACAGGTTAACTTTATTGATGGAAAGCACAAGGGGTTTAGGATGATGTTCCTTTCCCAAGACGCAACCAAAGAATACTTATCTCAACTTTACTCTATGGACCCAAGTCAACAAGGAGTAGATATAAGTATCCCAAATACTACCACTAGAAGAAGAGATTTTGGGACCAAGAGTAGACAGTTCAGAGGCAAGAAGACCAAGATGGAAAGTGAAATTTTTAGCGGTAAAGGAGCTGCTACCTCTGAAGGCTCTTACTCTCCACAATCAGTTGAGAAAAAGAAGAAGATGCAACTATTGATGAACACCAGAGCGTCCACTCCATATTTCAGACAATTCGGCGACCCAAGAGATAGACAGCACATTAAGATATTCAGCATCCGCAGGGGAAAGTAGAACTGAGATGATTAAGTTATTTCTAATAAACCTTGCTTAAAAATTCACGTTTGTCGATACCGCTTAATTCATCGGGGTTAGCCATTTTTCTTATGTTTCACTTATCAAAGGATTCGATCGAATTAATAGTAATCAAGATTGTCATTAGCCAATCTTTAGCTACCATCACCAGCTGCTGGGGCAAGCCTGGGACTTACTTGTTTATAAGGAAAATTAAGCCGCCTCATGAAGGTTATTGTGTTTGATCAATAGGAGGGTTTGTATTCAGGTTTCCTAAACCATCCAGAATATAGTACCCCATTTTTAACTTAATTTTAAGAAATTTAGTAAAATTTCTGGGAGTTTAGCATCGGTAGGTGGGATAATAGGTTGGGTCTCGAGATTCATGCCCATCTGGCTTCTTCATAATGATTTTTGAAAGAAGATTCTAACTTAAACTCTTGTACTGGGCCCAATAATTATGACTGAGATTTCATTCCCAAAATCTATTTCACTGCAAGCCTAGCAAGCTTGGGATTCTTCTTTAAGGGCTCTAATGATCCCCACTGGAATCTTTATGAGCCAAAGGAAGGTTTTAACATATCACACCGTCAATTTCTTTGAATTAAGAAATATTGCAACGTCCAGGAAGCTGATTCAAAATAGGACGTAAAATCAAACCTTGCCAACCGGCCTGTTTGGAAAGATTAGATTAAGAAATTTCTAAATTTAATTAAGCCTCAAGCTTTAGTTGCTATTTTAAGCCTGTCTCTGTCTCACCTTGGCTTGGCTTGTTTGTCAGGAGATGTCCTTGAGGATATCCTAACTTATAGTTATATTCTAGTGCACGGATTCTGCCTCTGGTACAGGCAACTTTAGAGTTATGTGAATCATCTCAAAACCTAAAAATCCCACCTATTTTTAGCGCAGAGTCTAATGTAGCACTGCTAGGAGAGGTGTCTGAGTGAAAATAAGTTTTTATATTTCAAAATTAGAGATTTACTGTAAAAATTAATTTAAAAGACTCTGAAGATCCCATTAAGCTCCCATGGTAATCAATTTCAGCTTAAGCGAGCACCAGACTTAATTTTTCATACATTTAAGCATTTTACCCCTGGTGGAGGAGAAATCCGAGGATCTAGTAAAGTCTGAATTTTCGCCAGCGTGAGAATTTTCAGAGCTTGATCTTTCAGACCTTAAAAATTTTAGATCCCAAAGTTGTAACAATTAAGTGACATAAACCCTTGATCATCTCTAATGGCTGAAACTTCAGATCATAAAAGTTTCCGCTGAGCTTAGTCCGAAATCAATAAGCTTATGTTGATCTAAAGCTTTAACCCCTACAAGAGAATTATTGAGAAGAAGTGTAAAATCTTAAAGAAGTATTTTAGCATCCAAGAAATTTAGTTGGAAAGTATCCTCTCAGATCTTCTTGTCTGATCTTAATGATCTCTCTAGTAACAATGACTAGCCGAGATCTCGAGATTTCAGGCCAACACAAGATTTGTTTGAAATTTTTGATCTTTTCTCACAACTATTTTTAATTTTTAGGAGATAAAACTGAAGTGAACAGCCTAACTATTCAATTATCCTCTCCTTAGTTAAATCATAAAATTGCATTGCTGTAATCGCATTGTAAGAGATTTGACTTGTAAGGGAAAGAGTTTCGACCTGAAATTCACAATGGTGCTACTGAAAATCTCAGGTGCTAGTCCTTTTTACTGTTGATTCTTGTGTATTTAGATAATAAATAGTACAAAAAGTAGCTTCATACTTAAAAGAGTCTGATTTCATAAGGAATCTTGACATTAATGCAAAGAATTGACAGAGATAAACCTGGGATACCCTCCTAGGTAATCTATCTTGTTACTTAGACCATGTCGGTCATATAGCAACCTTTAGGGCACAGCACAAGAGAACTTGCTCTAATGCACAATGACACTTGATTAATTGAAGCATTATTACTGCATGTACTAAACTAGTATCAAAAATTATTCATCAGAGATTATCGAAGAAATTTATATTAGCTCGGGTCTCGTGGACCCCTACTATTAGAGATGCGAAATATTCCATTATTAGAGAAATTCAAAGGTAAATCCGTATCGGAATAAAAATTCGTTACAACCAAGACTGACATGTAGCCTTAAAGTCTTTCAAAGGCCTTATTAGAGGGTAGACGTTCATCTGGGGAAAAGATAAAGTCAAATGTGCTATATGTCTTCTTAAGACGCATTTATGCACTGAGCTGTGATGACAGAGATTTTTAATTACCTTAAATATCAGTAAATTACACTATCCCAGATGTGTCATCAAGGAAGGTTGGAAAAGTTACTCATAGGAGATATATGCTCATAGAAAGCAATATAAGCTTCCAAGGCTGGAATAAAGGTAATATTTCTCTAACAAGAGGTATTTTTGTATAATTAATATAAATAGTAGATATTTCAACCACCTGACACACCCCTGGGGTTTTGGGGTTTTGGGGTTTTGGGGTTTTGGGGTTTTGGGG